TGCCTTAAAGGGAATTTCCAGTCTTGTTGATTTTAACTTTCTGTCCCCATTTTGAGAAATTCGTATAAAATTGATTGTAGGTCCAATAGAGGTGTTCAATACATAGAAGAAAACCCAATGTGTCTACTGCAACTTTGTAGTTTACATGGAGACCGACTTATGGCTCTAAGAGGCTTGAAACAATGATTTTCCGAAGTTGGTCTTGTGAAAAACGAGATCTACACTATATAATTGGTCATTTCTCCAAACAGGGTGAGTCCAAAACTATCTGAATCATAACAGATGGACCTACAACTTTCTTTAAGACATGATCACCTAGTTTAGCTTGTAAGTAGAGAAAATAAGCCAAAAACAGAAGCATAACTGTGTTGTTCGATGCAACCCAGTTTGGTTGTTTGGTTTATTTAACATCCATGTTAACCTCTACTCTAGTATTATAAGCCTACTAGGATTTATTAGAACTCAGATTTAAGTTATAAAGAAGATTTAAAAGGGTCTTAGACTTAGATTATCATGAGTTTAGTAGCTACAAATTCTAAATGCATTGTATATCTTATAGGCCCTTCAATTTGTCGGAATTCAATTAAGCACTTGGATAAACCTCACTTGAGGTTCTTATATGTAAAAGCTATAGATTTCTACCATTCTTTGATACTTTGACACGTATTTGTACATACGTGTCTACTTCTTAAATATGGTACACCATGTATTACCTATCACATAGGTGAAAATGGTTTTCCGTATTGAACTTTTGGAATTTGTTTTTTATTATGAGTTATCATTGATTTCATTACGTCGTTAAGAGTTATTTGAGTAATCATTATATGAGATAATTTATTTTGAATCAAGAGTCATTGTTGAACAATTGAATTAAAACCTTCAAGGTTTAATGGATTTTGGAACTTGTCTCCATGAGGTCGCATTTGTTGTAGACCTATTATTCCTTTATTGATTTTTATGGCATACTTGGCCATTGGGGACACTAAGGTCGGGATGCTTCCAGGGTGGCTGTACATTTGTGGCGTCCTCACTTAGAATGGACACGTATGGGATCTGGCCAGGTAATGGCTATCGAGGGTGAATGGATCGGTCCTAGTTACATGGGTCGGGTTGTGATTATTCACGAAAAGAGTTAGATGGTGAGTGTGCCCACACTGCTACCCCAAGGGACTCACGTAGGCCACTCAATCCATGAGAATGACATGCCTTCGTGATAGGATTTGGTTTTTCCCGTAAATTAATTTGCTTCTCAGTTCTCACACGATCCTCTCGCTATATATACACACCTGTACATAACCATATATATATATATATATATATATATGTGTGTGTGTGTGTGTGTGTGCGTGTACACACGAAAAAACATGTGTAAATATACATATCAATATGAGTATTAGATATATATATATATACATATATATATATATATATACATATATATATATATATATATACATATATATATATATAGGGTATATTTCAAATACAACCATGTTCATTTGTATAGCCAATGCAACCCAATCAGTTGAGATATTTATGGAAATGATGAGAGTTCATTTATTATGATTTGAATATTTATGGAATATGAATATGGTTCATTAATTATGATTAATACTTTATCATAGGAAATAATCAAAACTTCTATAAATTACATATTCATCAAATTAAATGGACGGTTGAGATTGAGTTGTATTGGTTGTACAAATGTAAAGGGTTGTATAATAACCAACCTCTCTCTCTCTCTCT